CCAGCTATTCCATATAATTATTTTGTTTAAATAATTATTAAATATATTTTACATGTTATTAACATATTGCTTACAGTGTAAGAATATACAACTTGTATATTTAAATTGTAATTTTGACTTAGAAGATATATTATTACATTTGCAATTTCTTTTCATAGAGAGAAATGTTATTATTCAATTACATATTATAACAACTATTAATAATAATATTTATTGTTATATTTTTCTTAACAGAGCTATCATTATAAAAAATAAATAATTTTTTTGATATTGATTTTATTAAGATCAAATTTCATCCTATTGTGACAATATCATGATCAAAAAAACATATAAAATCACTTGTAAAAGATAATAAATATATTTCAAATATTATATAATTAACAAATATCGATTTTAATAAAAATATTTTCTACTTTGTACATTGGTACCGAGTAAAATTTTATTTATATAAATTTAATATTTTAATTTATATGTTTAAACAATTAATATGAAAATAAGTTATAAATTTTATTTTATGATGATAACAACATTTCATTGTATTAATTGCAATTAAAAATATCAATGTTTAAAGAAAAACAGAATCAATAAAAAAGAAAGAAAAATACATAAACAAGAATTTGATCAAATAGAAGAATTACCAAAATGTTTACTTTGTAAAAAAAATCATTGGAGATGTAAAGAAGAAAAATGTACTCAATGCTATAAACTTGTACTTTGTAATGATATAAATTGTTTAAATTGTAAAGAACAAGAAATCGAATATCAATATTCATTTCCTAGAAATCAAGAAGAATATGATAGTTTTGGAAACATATTAACTAAAAGTATTGTAAAATTTGAATGAACAATGCAAGCAAGATTGCATGCTCATTTTTTTTTACAATTTAATTATTAACTTACAATGTCTAGTGTAAAAAAACTTTTAAAAGATGAAAAAATTTCATTTTTCTCAGGTGTTTTGTTATGTGAAACTTCTTAAGATGCTAAAAATTATGTATTAAAAAAATATGGACGATGTAAGATTCATTATTACCCAAATATAGGAAAATATTATCAGTGTGATTTTTTTAAATTAGATGAATTAGGCAAATGTAAATTATGCAATAACAATTGTTGTAAAGAATGAAAAACAGAACAATTAGATAAATTAGATTCTGGTTTATTTATTTTTGGAAAACATCGATTTATACAGATGGGTGACAAAAATATTTTCACACCTAAGAACTTGGCTTATAATTCAAAAACTTACTAATTAACTTATGTTCTTGATTTGACTATAGTAATTCTTACTCCTTGAAGATTATTTTATATTATTTTTAGATTACATGCTTGCATAATTAGCAAGTTATTTAACTTTACTTTTAAAGTTTTGATAAATTCTGTAAGTAACTGTGTTTCTGAGTAAATATTTTAACAACTATCAGTTTAATTTTAATAAAATTTTACTAGCTTATAGAGGAACCTATTCTCTACTTACTGTAAAAACTTGATCAAATTTTAATTAATAATTAATTAAGAAATTAAAAAAAAATAAAAATTTTATAAGTCAAATTTCTAAGCTAATTTTCTCAATAATTATTAATCTAAAATTAGCAATTTTTATTTTATATAATAGATATGCACTTTCTCTACAATATAAAAAAAATTTGGCTAAATCTAATTACTAGTTGCAAAGATAAATCAAATAATCTACCATAATATGTCAAATTTTATTTATCATTGTATATCTCAATTATCTTAGCAACCAGTTACAGACTTGCTATTTTTTTTTTTTATTTTGTAGAGAAGGCATGGCACTTTTAAATAAAAAAATTTCACTCAATTTTAATTACTAGAAGCTGAGATAATCAAGATTAAAGTTCGGCATTAAAATTTTAATATTATATTATAATTTTGTTGGCAATTGTCATGATTATCATATGATATAATTGTTAAAGAAATACTCAATTCTCAAGCTATCTTATACATAATCTTTATTTAAATACATTTTATTTATTTTTTTTTTTATCTAACCATCCTATAAAAAATGCAATTTCAAATCCTCAGGTTAATTTTAATACCACATTGTAGTTCAGTAATATTATGCATTCCCAGGCATTAGCATTAAATAAGAATAGCTGCACAACACAGTGCTGCACAGGATCAGAATGATCATATATGACATAGGTTAGTTTTCAGTCATAATTTTGAAATAAGCTTGTTGTTATAACATTTATTACTTAATAAAATAGTACATGATTATTAACTACAGGTAAAATTAATATAAGATTTATCATGTTATTTTACTACTTTATTATTTTACTCAAAATTCTTAGAATACATCCTATTTTTTTTTGACTGACTATCAGGGCTTTTTATGCGTTTCGAGCCTTCATAAGATCTGATTTTTAGGAGACTTTGAACTACTATGTTGCATTTACATATCTTAGTGTATATATTACATAGCAATCGCTTTACAGCCTTTAAATAACCATGAATTAGGTTTCTTCTAAATAAGCTTCCAAGTAAGATTTTTCAACATTTAAGATATGCTTCTCGATTGTTTTAATTTAATGGATGATTTTTATATTTACAATATAATTTAAACATAAATAAAAGTAGATATTGCTGAAATATTATACTGTGGAAGTTTATCGTAATTTAAAGTCAATTATGAATTTGCTAAACTTGTTTTACTTACAGAAGAAGTCTTTTGACAAACATTAACCTCTTAAGCTATTAATAGTGAATAAGTTTATATATTTCACTACTGAAGTATAGAATCGTTCAAAATGTACAGTACCCTCAAAAAATATATTATGGTTATACGAAAAAACAACATAAATTTTTTAAGCATATAAATTTATTGCTTAGCAAATTAATAATAAATATAAGATAATGCATTAGCATTTGCAGCTATAACCTCTATTAGAAATAACTTAAGCAGTATGATTTGGAATACTGTTGATTAAATTCATGTATCTAGTCTTTTCTATTTCTTTAAAAGCATTGTCTTCAATTTTTTATATATTCTTGTGGATAGTCTTTACTGTATTCTACGTATTTTTCAGTATATTCCATATGTGCTTTTTTGTATATTTTTTGAAAATGAAAGATTTGTTCGAATATCTGACATCTAGTTTATCATTATCTCAACTTATCTTCTTGGTTTCTAGCTTTTTTTTTCTTTAAACTATACTGTTTTAAAATCTTGTTTCATAACAGGTAATTATAGTTATGCAGCACTGCTTCAATTCGATTTAATGTTATAATTTTTTTTTCTCTTTTTTTTTTGACCAGTATTCTTTAGCAAGATCATTTGTATAGTTTTCATTATTAGAAATTGATATCAAAATTGACACAGTATACAATTGTATTTAATATAGTAATATCAGTAATTCTTATATATTAGACTCAGCTTTTAGTAAAAAAAATAAATAAATAATAAAATAAAATAAAGAAATAAATAAAAAATAAGATTCTATAATTTATTGACAAATTCATACATATTTTCAACAATTACGTTAAATTTAATTTACTGAAACTTTTCACATACAAAATTACATAAATTTTAGTAATTTGTCAGGCATCTTTTTTTGACCGAGTTAAATAAAATAATTAGTTATAGCCATTAATTAAAAAATCTGCAAATATAAATATGTTTCATTAAAGTCTTTTATATTTTGCAAGCTTAAATTATGACTCTTACAGAAAGAAAACACAGAGAAATTATATCTGCTCGAAAATTAGGCAAGTCATATAAGCAAATTGTTAACCTTGTTGGTTGTGATCCTAAGACTGTCAGAAATGTATTAAAATGACTTTACAACCTATCTCAAACATTACTGAATCGTTGAAGAAGGCCACCAATTTTAGATAAATTAGCACATGATCACCTAACACAGCTCGTTCTAAATAATTGCCATATAACTAAAAGAGATATTCAAGCTGCATTGGAACAGTAAAAAGGAAAAATAATAGTTATTTTTTTTTTTGATATTATTTTTTTATTTTTTATTTATTTTTTTTTTGTTTAAAATTTATATTTTATAGGTAATTTTCTGAAGAACTATTAGTCATACTCTTCAGAAATCTAACCTGTTCACACATATTGCTCACACAAAGCCCTTCATTAATAACAAAACTAAAAAAGAATATTGAGATTGGGTAGAAGAGCATCTTCACTGGATGACTGAAGAATAGAAGAATGTTCTTTGGTTTGATGAAAAGTATTTTTGTTTAATTCATCCTAATCTGCATCAGTATATATAAAGAATGCCAAACAAAGAATTTGATGATGATTGCCTTGTTCTGATAATTAAATCTAAAGGAGTTATGATGTGGGGATGTTTTTCTTGGTGGGGTCTTGGCCCTCTTGTCTGTCTTCATGACAGTATTACAAGTGTATCCTATTGTCGAACACTTAGTCATTATGTTATTCCCAAACTTTAGGACCAATATTCCAATAGCAATGAGATATTTCAACATGATGATGCTTCAGTTCACAGAGGCAAGATTGTTAAAAGATACTTAGCTAACAAGAATATTAAAACAATCAAATGGCCTTCATACAGCCCAGACCTTAATCCTATTAAGAATCTTTGGTTCGAGGTTGAAGAAAAGCTCTAAAAACATTATTCAAGACCCAGTAATCTTAATGAGCTTGAGCAGATGGTTATAGAAAAATAGGAAGCATTATCTCAGAGCTATTTTAGACGTTTGGTTAAATGCGAAGTAGACTGTGTCAGAGAAGTATACAATAAAGATGGCAGTTATTTGCACTACTAATTTTAGATAGTGATTATACTAAGTATAAAGATTATTTGCTTGTAATAGTTACCATAAATAAAGTTAAACATTTGCTAAATTAGTATGAAGAACATTTGCTAAAGTAATATAAAAAACATTGGAAAAGTTTTAAAATACCTGTTCAAGTTCACAAATGTTTCAATTTAATTCATCATATTGTTAATTTTTAAAATAAATGCTTGAATTAGTAAGCCTAAATTAAGAAGAGTTAATTACAATCAAAAAAAAAAGAAAAAAAAAATAATAATAAAAAAGAGCAAAAAAAAAAATAATAATAGATACCTATTACCCTAGTTAGTTTCACTTTGTAGTCTCATGAATCAATCATAATCATTGATCAATCTATAGTTATTAATTCTCTAAGATCAAAAAAAAATTAATTTAGTATATACTGTAAATAAGATAGCTGTGCAATGTAGTTGCACAAAAGATTTGTTGTAAGGTTTAAATTTCTATTATAAAAATTTCCTTAAATTAAATACAAATAATCTTTATGTTCACTAATTAAGTAAGTATAGCTGGTAAATGTTTATAAATTTAATATATAGTTTATTAAATGCTTAGGTTATAAATATTATTTATTTATATATTAAATTAAATAATAAATACAGTACTTGTGAAATTTAATGAGTAACTATATTAACCTTTCAGCCTAATACATAAATCAACTATAGCACTTGTATAAATTATGGTTTTTTTTTAATTCTATATTTTATATTTTATTTATTTAAGGGAATTTACAAATAAGAGCCGAAAAATGAAAATAATTACATATAATGGCCTAGTTTTTAAAAATATTACATATAAAGGCCAAAATTTGTTGGAGGTTGAAAAAACGTGATTATGGATTACTGCGCCATAAATTACTATGAACATGTTTTATTATATTAATATATATTTAGAGTTATCTATATTCTAATTATTAGATAAAAGAATAAATAAAGTGCTGGTTATAATCATTTTTGCTTAAATAATAGCGTTAAACTAGCACAATTATTTATAAGGTAAAGAAGTTTTAACAGAATAGCGATTTGTTATAACAATAAATAATTTTAGATGTATACAAAGAAATTAAATTTATTAAATTTAAAAAAAATTCTTTTCGCATTTATAATTACTAATATACAATCGATTATTACATTTTATATGCACTTTATCATTTTATTAATGTTTATATTTTTATACTGCTACAGGCTTGAATAATATTGCAGTTATTTTGGCACTATACAGTATTGCTATGTAATATTTTTGAAAATTGGGCACTTATTTTTAATTTGGTCTCGTATTTTCACTTTCTGGATTCTTATTTTTAAATTTACTTCTTTTTTTATTAAAAAAAAAGTTTTTGTAAAAATGAATGTACTTGGAAAGCTAAGTCCAATGTATATATGATTAAATGCAGTTATATACTTAATTAAATTTGATTTATTTCAATTTTTAAAAAATAAAAGCTACACAGATAACTTTGATAAAGAATGCTGATTAAAAAAGAAAAGGAGGAAGTCACACATAAAAATCGATAAGAAAAGAGAGCTGCACAACTATCATCACCTATTATGAATCAAGATTCTAAAAGACAATGTAAATTTAAAGAAAACAAATTGCAAGAACTAAGATGAAAGATAAATTTGATAAAAATTGGGCAAATCAAAGCAGTTGCAATTGAGACTGTAATATGTAATGATAATCTGGATGTCATACATTCAAACTTCATACTTCAGTAGTAAATTACATAAACTTGTTTGCTATTAATAGCTTAAGAGGTTGATGTTTGTCAAAGTACTTCTTCTGTAAGTAAAACAAGTTTAGCAAATTCATAATCGACTTTAAATTATGAAAACTTCTACAGTATAATATTTTGACAATACCTACCTTTATTTGTATTTAAATTATATTGTAAATATAAAAAATCATCCATTAAATTAAAGCAATCAAGAAGCATGTCTTGAATGTTAAAAAATCTTACTTGGAAGCTTGTTCAGGGAAAACCTAATTCATGATTATTTAAAGGTTGCAAAGTGATTGCTATGTAATATATATACTAAGATATGTAAAGGCAATGTAGTAGTTCAAAGTCTCCTAAAAATTGGATCTTATGAAGCCTCGAAACATATAAAAAACCCTGGTAGTCAGTCAAAAAAAAAATATAGTGTATTCTAAGAACTTTGGGTAAAATAATAAAGTAGTAAAATAATACGATAAACCTTATATTAATTTTACCTATAGTTAATAATTATATACCATCTTATTAAGTAATAAATGTCATAACAACAAGCTTATTTCAAAATTATAACTGAAAACTAACCTATATTACATATGATCATTCTGATCCTGTACAGCACTATGTTGTACAGCTATTCTTATTTAATGCTAATGCCCAGGAATGCATAATACTACTGAATAAACTACAACATGATATTAAAATTAACCTGAGAATTTGAAATTGTATTTTTTTATAGAATGGTTAGATAAAAAAAAAAAATAAATAAAATGTATTTAAATAAAGATTATATATAAGATAGCTGGAGAATTGAGTATTTCTTTAATGATTATATCACATGATAATCATGACAATTGCTGATGAAATCGTAATTAATATTAAAATTTTAATGCTGAACTTTAACCTTGATTATCTTGGCTTCTAGTAATTAAAATTGAGCAAAATTTTTTTTATTTAAAAGCACTATACCTTCTCTACAAAATAAAAAAAAAAATAGCAAGTCTGTAACTGGTTGCTGAGATAATTAAGATATACAATGATAAATAAAATTTGACATATTATAGTAAATTATTTGATTTATCTTTGCAACTAGTAATTAGATTTAGCCAAATTTTTTTAAATTTTTTTTTTTTTTGGTATTAAGATGAGGCCTTGCTTATATTTTTATTAATAATTTAAAATAGTTACATATATATATGCTATGGCCAAGACCAACACTTGCAGTTAGGGCTAACTATTAAACTACTAACTATATAGCTACTACTATTTGTACAAAACAAATAAATTGAAAATTACATACAAAAATAAAAGCTTAAACTAGTTTATTTGTGACCTAAACCTACTAGAGTAGTCAAAGCTTACTTAGATTTGAATGTTTAATATATAATTTGATAATATGCTATATTTGATTTATAAGATGGACTAAATGTTAATTTTGTGAATTGCTTGGCCAATAGAAGGACATATATTTGAGTAAAAATATAATTGATCAGGAAGTTACAAAGGCATGAGTAAGTGTAATCTTTTCAAGAGCATGTATATTTTCTAGTTGAATTGAATAATCTTAAAGATTGATTAATTAGTTGAGATCAAGGTTTGTTTTGTTGATTTTTCCAATTAGAAAAGTAGATACAGTATGTTTTCTATAATTGCTCATATAATTGTTTGTTAATATTAAGAAGAATATTAATAATAACTTGAGAGACCATTTTGTATGAGATGGCAGAGTTTTGAATTGTTGATATAAAAGACTTTGGAATAAGTTTTTTAAGAGTAAGGTTGAGATAATAAGTATTAAATAACATATATAAAGAGTTAAGAGCTGGATGATAAAGAATTTTGTTAATTAAGTTATGTTTATAATAAGTGTTAAGATCAGGCAAATTATTAGAAATAATTTGGTTAGTAGAGATTTGAATAATTTGATTGAATAAAGATGGATTAGCACAAGTGCATCAGTAGAAATAAGAATTACAAAAGAAGCAAGTAGTATTTAAATATTAGCTTAGATGAATAGTATGATATAATGAATATGTTAGCAACTCATTAAGAAGGATTTTTGTTTTAAAAGATTTTAGTTGATTAAGTCTAAAGTTGGTAATATTGTATGAGGGTTTTTGATTGTGATTGAAGTAAAGCCAAATGGATTTCCAATCAATGTTTTGGTTAAAGTATGACTACTTGCTGTTTCATTTTTGTAATGCCTATATAGCTAAGATGTAAGCTTTACAGATTTGTCTAATAAAGTGCTTTGTAGAAAGTTTTATATAATGGTGTTCCCATTGGAGAATATGATAAGAGTTGTAAAGATTTTTGTAATTAAATAAAAAAATTAGTGACAGTAGATATTGTTTAGTAAGAAAGTCTGTTTGCTCATTAAGATAGTTATCTGAATGAGTCTGTACTTTGTAAAAAGTAATTTGTAATTTGTATAATTTAATAATGTTTAGAAAAGTGTGCCAAATTGGCTATGAATTAAATTTAAGTAATTTGTTAGAATAGATTAACTTAAGTTGAAGATTATTAAATTTAGAGATTACTGATTGAGAGTCTGTAAAAATTCTGTTTAATGCTATGATCTAATTGCAATAATTTATATAAAGCTTCTAAAAAATGCTGAATTTTTATAAAACAATTTTACTGCTATTGTTTTTTGGAATATAATTAGTAGTAGGTTTTATAAGAGGTTTGTATCTAATTAGTTCTTTAATGTTATTATATAAAGTTAGTAGTCTTTGATTCTTAAACAAGTTCAAGTTGTTTTATTGAAAGACTCTAGTCCATTTTGTCTAATTACTTTTAAGACTAACTGTGTATGCTTGCACTATTATTTTTCTTTATTACTGTTAAAGCTGTTTAATGTTTTTCTGTTTTGTTCTAGTAAGATTTTGGTAACTGTCTGGTATATGATATCTTTTTTTGTGTTTGTTTCTCTAATATTGTGTTTATTGAATATGTTTCTTCTTTTTTATCATCTATAATTGTTGTGTTTTGATTTATTTTTATATTTGGCATTTATTTGTTTATGTCATTTTCTGCAAATATACAAGGTTTAGATATTGGTTCTGGCTAAATTGGTTTGTTTACATCTTTATTTGTTCTTGTATAAAAGAATTGTGTTGGTTATAATAGAGTTCTAAATTAAGCTCTGCCTAATTTGTAAATCTATGAAATATTTTTTTTCTATTGGCTAATATAGGTCCAAAATTGAATTCAATGTTGTTTCTATTTCTATTAGTGATGTTATGTTTTAAGAATTTTAAGATAAGCTTGAATTTTATTTTTTTTAAAAAATTACTTTTATTGTATTTTTCTAGTATTTGTTTGAACAGGAATAGTAATATTGTAATTAGTTTCACACTTTTTTTCTTTACTTTGTTTATCTATTATATTATTATTATCAATGTATATATAGACAGATCATAATTTTTTCTTTTAAGTTTCAGCTATATATATTTTGTTGTTATTCTTTTTATTTATTTATTTATTTTTTTGGTATTAAGGTGACCTCTTTGGTCTTTTGATTTTTATTAATCACTTATTGGCATTGTGGTTCAATGAACTACTACAGAAGAGTGTACAATTGGCTACATATATAACTTTTCTATATTACCTATTTAAGGAGTCTGTCTGAAGGTTCCTCACCAATTGTTATATCTAACATCCTTGCTTGGATGTTCTATTTTAAACCCTTTGAACCTGTAATCTGTATTAACATCACTGGTTATTCCAGATGCTCAGATTATCATCTCAACTTTAGAACTAATTTATCCTCAAGGTAAACCCTTCAGAGCCTTCTATACCTATTTTTACAGCTGATCTAGGTATCACTATAGTAGAACTAACACTTGTAATCAGGGCTGACTATTAAACTGCTATGCCCTTGTAGAGTTTACACAAACTCTAGCATCTACTTCACAGCATATCCGAAATACTTTAGTATACTTCTGCTAGTTTACCAAACTCCTAATCCAGATAGCCTGATAAGACTTATGACCAGTTTATTGGTATATCAGATCGGCCTGATATCCTTTTCTTTCAGCTCGATCTGTCAGTCTGGTTGGTGATACCTCTCATCTAGAGGTTTTTGCCTATCTGGCTATACAACCTTGGTATCCATTTTATAAGGCTAGCCTTTACAGTAGGACCATCGAAGATCTGACTACCTCTCTATCAGGTTTTCCCAAATAAACTTCTTGTTACCTAATTTCAATTGATTTACACAGCCACAAGGACTTATCTAGTATTTGCATTGTTTAATTGCTAGTTTGCATTCCTTCGTGTAACCACAACCTTGTCCCAAAGGACAATGTCATGTGACATATTACACAAATGGCCCATAACCTACTAGCATGCTAATGTGATTGCCATTACAGATATCCTAACTCAATCATTAGTAACAGTTGCCATAATATGAATATTACATAAGTAATTATCTAAATTTTCGTTGTTGATGGGATTTGAACACCCAACCTACCACTTGAAGGGTTGACAACCTGACCACTTCACTAGGTTGCCACACCCCTCATTATTCTTTTTATTGCCATTGTTGTTTACTTTAGTTGCTAATATAGTTAGCAACAATATTGTAAAGAGAACTGAAGTACAAAAAGCTGTTTTTTTAATTCATTTAATTGTTAATAGCTTTATTTCTTATTATTGTTGCAAGTTATTTTTAATTATTTAGTTATAGTATTCTAAATGTGTTTGGTTGTAATTTGTTATTTTGTTTACTATAAAAAAATGTTTTACAGAAAAGTGTTTCTAATTGCAAGTAGTTTTAGCTATTGTTATTAGGTTAGATTAAAATTAGAATTAAGATTAGTGTAATTTAAAAAAAAAATTGTTAGTAAAATAAACATATTTACAAATAAAGAAGTACTTGTTATATTAATTATATTTTTTGTAATAGTATTATTGTTAATATCTCTATTACTATAATAATAATATGCATTAAGATTCTCTAATTATTTATCATAATAAAAAAAGATTTTTTTAATTTGTATTCATTTTATTTTTATATTATTAATAATTTTATTTAAAAATATGACAAATATTATTTTATTTTCAAAGTTATTTATTGATATATTTTATATTTGTTTTTAACTTTTTTATATTGTATTGTCTTTGTTATTTTTTATTTATTTAATTTTTTTTTTAATCTTTGGTAACAATGCCAGTTGGTTTTTATTAGCCTTAATTTGATATAGTACAAATTTATG